AAATTTTATTTTTCCGTACATAAGGTTAACTTTAGCGCGACGTTACTGGAAGTTTAAATTTATAGCTAGTGACACGATGACAAATATAATGGTACAATAACATTAATATACAAACTTTTACGACGGCTTTGTCTGTGTTCAGCGATCCGTGAAATACTAACTCATTACCTAACAAAAGGCTGTGATGTTAACTTGGCAACGCGGCGTTGTTTGTGGACATTTCGAATCAATATCAGTGTTTGTTCTAATAATAAATATATCATGTATCTACAACATACAACACGTCACTGGAATGTTTCTTTTCATCGTGTTCCTTCCTTTGTTTAATATTTTCGTTTATTGTTTTAATATTTCACACAAAGAGTTTCTATGACCTTTTGTGATACAAGTTTTAATTGAACCTCGTGTGAGGTTCGATCAGTCGTTATGTGTTTATTTAAACGTTATTTATAATCTTTTTTAAACTTTAACTAAACTGTAAACGTTCGGATAACTAGTAATAATTATTGTAAACACGAATTATTGTGGTCTGAAACAAAGGAAAGAGCTGTCATTTTAATTTGTTCAGGTAGACAAAACACTAGAAAAAAACGCGACAGAAGAAACATAAGTGTTGGAAGACATCCAACAATCACATCGCTAGTAACAACGACATTTGTTTCAGTTAAATTTAGCAAACATTCATAAATTGACGGAAAAAGGAAAAACTTAAGGGAAATTCTGTTACTGACGTCACTAAGTTTTTGTCGTTTTTTTAATGTTTTTTTAATGTTTGGTTTTAAAATTTAGTTATAAACTGGAGAAATCGTTTGTTTACTTTTTTTTGTGTTCTATAATAATTTCGCTGGTATTTTTTTGACTTGCTTTTATATTAGTTTTTTATATTACTTTAATATGTTACGGAACGGTGCGGCGTTTTTAACTAAGTCAATATAATGTGGAAGGAGCAAGCTGAAAATCAGCGCTGGGCATAGCACAGCACATAGCTGAGCTTGTAACCAATTGCGATATGGTCGTCAATGAAAACGAGTGGTAAATTAAGAAAAAATGTTTGCCAGTATGAATAACTTGTATCTCATAAAAATATGTGTTTTTCTTAAAAGTTACTTTTTAATGTACGACCTATCTGAAGCAATAAAGTTTTTATTATTATTATTATTACTGAGATTATTAGTAAGAGAGTATTATATACTATTAAAACATACTATACTTTTAAAAATTTAAATGTTTATCATTTTGTACCTAAAAATTAAATAGTCTATTGTATAATAAACTGATAAATTATAAAACTTTCTGGTGTTTTAACATTAAACTGATTTTATTTTCAAATATTGTTTTTAAAAGGTAACCAGCCGTTTTAGTGATTTACAAAACAAGTCAAGTCTGAATGACTTGTGGTAGTTTGTGGTTTTACACAGATTCACTAGTTTTCATGTGTCATTTTCTTAACTGTTTTTTTTGTTTAGTTCATCTGAAGTGTTCTCTACAGGAGTATGATGTTAAAGCTTTATTTTTTATTTTATTTATCGCATACAAGTAACAATTAATATTAAATCATCAATGTTTATCGTTCAGGTAGTTTTCTTATCTTCATCATAAAGAACATTTCACGTGACAAAATATCTCAATTCAGAAGCAAGGCACGAGATGAGACTTCCACAAATTTGTCAGTGATATTTTTCATCAAAAAATATGTAAAAGGAAATTTTCCTCTCGTATCTGATATCAAAGCGATAAGCGTATGAAAACGCTCCCGTCCTCCGCCTCCGGCCAATTTGTAACTTCGTAAGCGTTGGAAAAATGGGCTCAGCCAATGTACCACTTTGGTGTATTAAGCCTTTTAGTCCCGTCGTATGTACGACGAACATACATGTATTAAAAGATATTCACAATATGGAATGACATTTAATCACGTCTGCCTGTATATGTGTGTGTGTATGTGTGTGTGTGTGTGTGTGTGTATGTGTATGTGTGAACGTATTTATCGTGTCATCAATGTGGCCGTAGAGAAAATTGCATGAACGGAATTGAAGTTGGAATCAATGTGGTTTAATTGAATGCCCCCGGGCTTACGGTCCCCTCTGAGTGAACCGGATCGATATCAATGAAACTGAGATGTTTTATAAATAGATATAAATTAAGCTTATATACTACGAATATATGGAAAGAATTCTTGACAAATTTAATACAATGTGATAAAAGGTAAGTTTTATCAAAAGAGACCTAAATAATATTTAAAATATTTCACAATAAACATTCCGAGATACGACGCCTTTGTCTCGAGTCTCTCTTGTCTGGAGATAAAATTTTATAACCAAATATATAAATGAATTTGAACAATATCTCTTTGATACATAACATGTTATATAATAGTTATGTACCATTTCAATTGAACAGCATTTTATGTAAGTTATTAAACATTTTATTGATAAAAAACTTAACATGTCATAGAAATTTTATTCTTGAGCGAGCTTTGAACTAAAGTGTTTTAAGAACATCAAAGGGGTACAAAATACTGTTGTGATATTTTTAATTTTCCATTCCTGTGGTTCTTTTGTCGGCACAGTATTGGTTTAGTTTCTTTTGTAGTTTGTAAAAAACTTCTTATAACGGAATATTAAAACTTAAAGGTTTCACTGAAAAAATCATAATCTGCTTTAAAAGAACACTTTACTATTGTACCTAACAAGGGTTGTAAGGTATCAAATGAAAAGCAAATATTTTTCTTATGTTTATTTATTCAGTATAGGAGTTATAGTTAACACATTGCGATGAATATAATATGGTTTCTGTACATCAAATATCAAAGTAAATAATAATGTATATTAATAAAATGTATATATATATATATTATGATCTATTAAATTATTGGCACCGAGACCTGACACGTACTTGTATCGAAAATGGACGTAAATACGGAAACTTATGAAACGAAGTGACGGAGACAAAGCGACCAGTCAAAATACTTGAACGACGAGGCAGCTCTCACTGGATACTGACAGTGTGTTCGTTTATACGTGAGTATACACGTACGAACTAATATTAAGGACTGGCTAGTAGCTGTTTGATATTTGACTGGTCGCGCGTGTGACGTCACCCATGTATACCAGTATACATTATGTAATTTTTAAAGAGGTGCGGGGGTCGCGGGTATCTATAGGAAATGGGAGATAGTGCAAATAGATTTAAGAAAAGGTTCAGAAGAGAAAAGATTCTATAGATTGTTCTAAGGTGACCTAGCCGTCCTCCTTGTGAAGGTCGCCTCTACTGTGACAGGCTGCGTGGATGAGGGAAGGGGTCTAGCTAAGGGGATAGCTCCTTAATAAACTAGTTCGAACTCCGAGATGGACGGATCATTGTTCTCCACTATTCATTTATACAAATTAAATTTGATACCTTCGTAAATATCTTTTACAAACAATTGTCCAATTGACCAACATTTCCGAGACGGTACAAAAATACATTTCACTACTCTAATATAACTAAACTAACCAGTTAGACTCTTTGTTAACAATATAATATACATTAGACCCGCGACTCGCCCGCGCCTCTGACTTATCACAACACTTTACAACAATAACGATGTTTTATAAATATGGTTAAGACGAGAAACAAGAGCAAGAGGAACCTCACTAGCAGAGGAGAGCATGAAGAACAGAAAGACGTACAACTAAACATCGAGATTAACACTTCAACATCAAACATTTCATAAAACTTTTCATTTGTTACGAGTTCACTACGACGTCGTTGTGAATATCGTTTAGCAAATATTAATCAATACAAAACACATCCGATCTAAACGGATCTCTAAAATTGACATCGAATTTACACGATTCCATTTAAGCTATGATACAAAATGTATTATTATATTATACTTTTAAGAATTTGACATCTACATACATATATAAAATATAAATGACGTACATGTGTTGCGACGCGGCGTTGCTTTGACAGAAAGATGTCGAGCCACATCGACGACGCTCTCTTATATATAAGATACACTTATTAAATCTAAACATATCTTTTGGTGTTCACATTGCTCTAACATTCAAATACCATGTATACGACGAACTCAATACATCTAATAATTCACAATTATCAACAATTTGGCACATTCCGTTCCTGTTTTAAACAATCACTAGAAACAAAATAACGACGAGAAGAAGAATAGGAAGAAGGAGAGAATCTACGGAGAGTCATTACATTAATATAGAGGGACGTGCGCTGCAATACATTATTCATATACATTATAAATACAAGGACTGGCTTTAATTGTAACTCAGGAAACAGAATATTTGTATCACGAATACTACCCATTACATATTTATATCAGTACAATTATAATAATATAAAAAGCAATTGAGAACTTTAATTCCATTTTGAAGTAGAAACAAAGAAATGAGAACATTTAATTTAATGTTGAGAAATGTTTTGCAGCGTACGTGCCAAGATAGAGAGATATGTAGGTACACTACAATAATGAGTACAACAAATTATGATTATAGGAGCACTACGAAGGCTAAAATACAATGACACACATCTACAGAATAGGTACATGCGGTTTTAGTCCCGAAATGATAGGACTTGTATGCTTATAAAGACTAAATTACTTTAGTCCTATATCAGTTATACAACTTGAACCGACTAACATTACGTTCGTAAAAAAGTTATTTTAGATAATTCATGATAAGTTGTATATTGAGATCTTTGAGATGTTTTTGGCTTTTTTCAGACTAGATACGCTTAGACAAGACTCAGTAAGATACGAGTATTAATATAATTAATATAGGGATATATTACACCTAGTAAAAACATATCAAGGACCAATTACAAAAAATTAAATAAAAAAACAAACCAGTAAATATATGGTAATCAAATAAGTCTTGCAATATATAGTATTAAACAGAAAAACAAATGAGATCAAATTTAAACGGATTGAGCAGTAAATAAGATCGTATAAAGAGTTTAATAAAATATGCATACACTTAATAAAAACATAGTTACTTGTGCAAGAACACAAGAGCCCACATGAGGAAGAAACTGGTCTGAATTCTAGCGACGTTTGAATGCAGAGCTCTTACAGCGTGTCTGGCCGGAGTCTGGACCGAGCGTCGAGGGAAGACAGCCACAGCGCCCCCCACTGACGTGACCGCCACACACCACGTCTCATCTGGATCCGGAACCAATATAACAGCCCTCCAACAATGCTGAGCCAAGCCCGGCGTGAGTATGGCCGGCGTCGTCACCCCTCCCCTTAGCCACAAAACGCGTAAGTTGCGTCCGCACGCGCCACACTCCAGACGGTAGCCGTTAGATGTGGCTTCAGCACTTACAGCCGTCGCTGTCGCACTCCCTTTGTATAAAGAGCACATGATAAAAAAGATACATTCAAACACACAAAGCTAAATTTAAATAGGTTTTATAACATATGTTATATATTCTGATATACTGAGTATATACTCAGCCTTCATATTAAAGTGTAATTATTTTAATACTCAATTTAAAAACATCATATTTTTTCTTTATAAAGCCATGATTTGCTTAATATGTATGAGACTTCAACAAAAAAAAAATTCCTGAACTATCGAGTATTGACTAACATAGTTTAAAATTATTGGAACCTGATTTAGTATTTATGAGCGAGTGAACAAACCAACATATTCTCCCTTTTGTGATATAATGACTATATATACATATGTTTACCCGTGACTTTGAGCGTGACTCTCTTCAGTTCTCTCAGCACCTTCATGTCCGGAGCCCTCGCTCCTATACACCGATACTCCCCGGCCTCCTCGTACAAGGCATCCTTCACACCTGTATCATCTAACATGTTAACCACACTGTATAATACTTACAATATAATTAATATCTTGTCTGATCGTGTTAATGTTAGTGTATGTATGTTTCGTACCTAATACTCCGTGCGCGTGATGTGAGCCAGCAGGTGTCCAGGCGTCTGTTCCATTACCAACTATCCTTCTCCACCAACAGCCGACGGTACCTACACCATGTATTATATTAACAACATCTCCTTATACAGGGTGACTGGTGAATTACTATCAATATTTAAGGAGCATACTCGGTACATGATTCTCATTCGAATTATGTAAAAAAAATAGGTACTTAATTTTTGACCAAATTTCCGTATAAATAAATAAAGTGTGGACACGTTCCAAGTGTTCCAAGTGTGGACGCGTGCGGCGGCGTGCTGATACAACACTACGCCGCCGCCGCGTCTGTGTGAGTGTGTGTGTATACCTAATCTGTAGGGTGTTCATACGATGCGTAATTAATTACATAACTTTTGGTTAACTTTACTTAGAAGTTTATTAATATTTATGTTATATTAATTTTTATTTTGTTATATATGATCGTCAAATATCACGTCCTCAAATATCGATAGTAATTCACCAGTCACCCTGTATATGTATATGTATAGTATGTTCAATGTATTTCCTATTTTAAAGTGAACCCAACTTATAAAATCGATACTTGAGCAACAAACTTTTAAAGTCAGCTACTTTTATACAAGTTTTATTAAAGTATACTCAAGTATATTGTGTCGAAAACTGTACGTTTATAACAATATTTACGAGCAGACTGTTGTTGAGATCGTTTTTATAAATTGCGCATTTCACATATTTTTATACTTTTGAATAATATGTTCATAACACTCTTCAATTACGTGACAAAATTAAGTTTAACTTATTATTGTTGTACTGAAGCCGATACATACAAATACAATCAATTTGACACAAACTTCGGAATTCTTGTAAAAAACAAGACAATATGATTTATTCTTCGTCAACGCAAAACAGATAACTTTTTATTTAGAATATTATATGATATTGAAGTATCTTACATGTACGAGTATATCCGCAATAAAACAAATACATATAAAACTTTTTGAATTTCAAATTTCAACCGCAATTGCTTCCCATTTAGTACATGTATGTATGTATGTATGTATGTCTCAACTCTAACTAACCTCTCGGACAGTGTAGCTGAACGCTCCCTCCGACCTGTACTTCCACCTTCTGGTGTTCCACCTCCTCATCGGCTCCAGGTTCTGTTCCTGTCTGTGGAACTTCTTCAGCTGCAGCTAGGAGTTGTATGGAAATAATACATTATATAACACCTTCCATAAGCTCAATTTAGTTAGTTTTCAAAATCGTAATCAATATACTTAAAATGTTTTGACGAATCATTATACACTAAGTGTATTTTCCATTGCGGAATCCCACATAACGTGCTTAAAATTGAAGCTAAGAGATCAACAAGTAAACCTTCACAAAACATTTCACAAAGCAGCTTCACAAATGATAATACCCGCTGTGCTTTGAGTTCCAATGGAGTCAATTCTAGTTCAGAGATCCTTTTGTGACCAACTGAATAAAGACTAGAATGGATCGTGTTTTATGTTAAAAACGCTTCCATCACTATGAACGAAAACTAAATATAAAGTTTTAACAAAGAACGCTGTTCTGTAATGATGCCGATTTATATTTAAGTTTTAGAATAGTTTCTAAAGAAACGATAACAAAATAATACCAAGTAAGAGCACTTACGAAATATAATTGAATGTAATAACAATCGACCTCCACTAATTGGACCTCTCGATAACTGTTTGAAAACTTACGTCTATGATTATAAATTATAGTACTGCTTTTGAACCTTTTTATTGAAATTTCATCAAAGACTTCTAAGTTCTTTTTACTGTTTTAGTTCACTCTTGTTATCGTCCACTTATTTTTATTACCTTTGAAATATTTTTTAAATATCGCTGTGATTTACACATTCAATATTTTCAGAACGCAAGGGGATTCTACATATAACGAAACCAGATATAGTTCTATTGTAATACTCATATATTTTTGTATAGGATGATAAACTAGACAAAGTGTCATTTAGAAAAGATTAACTCGATTGAAACAGAAGAGAAGAAACATTAGTTTATGACTTTCGACACTCATCTGAGTGCTACATGACAATAAGATAGCTAAAATCTATTTATAATATATGTACATACCATTAATAAAAATCTATTAATTGTATAGTTTTAAAACTATCTCTAAATATAAGTTCTTGACTCTTAAGTATATTATCTTAAGCCCTGTACGTGAAAAAGATTCTGAATAAATAAATTTTAAATGGTCGTTGGTTTCGTAGTCATACTGTTGAGATCGTAGAAAACTTTCCCTGATAATATGTATGATATATACTTACCCATAACATTAAGGTAGTATCCGATACTAGAGTAGTCTGTGTCCATCCACTTTGCTCGGCAGCGGTACCAGCCAGCGTGAGACTCACTCAGTACAGACCAACGGAGGGTCGCCGCGCTGAGAGGAGACCCGGCCGCTCCTGACTCTAACGGAGTGGGGGGACTGGGGAGGAATGATACTAATGATAAAGCTAGGCTATAAAGGAGGAACAAACAACTAAATGGATACGGCAACGCGCTTGGGAATCAAGTGTTAGACGTATTTTCATCTCAACTGAATGAATATTGATCAAAGTCCATCATAGTTTTGGCTAATTGTTTTACGACCGGCCGTCTGCCTGACATCAACCCTCTTTTGGGAATGTATTTATCAGTGATGTCTAAATACTCTTAGAAAGTACATATGACTCGGAAAAATCACATTGGTACTTGCCCGGGCCAGGATCGAACCCGCGCCCTCATGCATGAGAGGCGGCCCTCTTAACCACAAGGCCAACACTGAATTAGTGATACACAATAACTTAATGAATAAAGATATATATATGTTCAGTATAGCCTTTAAAAACAGATTAATAAACAATATATATTATCTTAGTAAAGTACAACTTTGTGATAGGAATAAAATTTTAAACCCTAAAAAAGCCATAAGAAGTAAGTTACACATTTATAATGAACATAATCGATACTAATAAATAAATTTGAAATGTTTACTTATAATTTCAAATCGGCAGTGTTTTACTAAACACACATAAACAATATTCGATGTCCACATTAAAAAAACAATTTTTAACATGTTAGTCTGTCTGTCTGTCTGTTTATTTCGGCTCATCTCTAAAACAGCTGCACCATTTATAACTAGGGCTGCTTACAAGCAATTTAACAGACTTAAAAAAAAGAAAGTCCTCAAGTCTCACTTTAAATTTTAAAGCTATTACTCTTTCATTAAAAGACGGATTGCTACCAAATTAGATTGTAATAACGCGTATCTTAAAAAGAGTTTAATAAGCAGGTAAAGCTTAAGGCAATAAGTAGAATAAAATATGAAAATACATGACAAAAAAGTTCTCTGAATGATGTCATTAATAGATGTTAAATGATTATCCTTTTATGTCAGTCACAACCAACTAGTTAAACTCTTTGGTTTTGTCACATTAATTTAAAATTTCACATAACTGTTAAATAATTATGAACACTTTGGTAATGCTGTGAAAACTGCGGTATAAATGTTTCAGTATGAAAATTAAGAATTTTTTAACGAAAAACGAATTCCCTGTTTATTTTCATACAAAGCCGTCCTCGTGTTTCAACTGAAACAACATTAACACTAACTAATTCATACAACTGTGTATTTACAATATTTTTATAAAACTGTTTTAAACGTTTATTAAACGCGCTTGTGGCCGGCAACTCCCCACTGTTACTCTCTAACGCTCGCTGAATCCAAATGTTTGAAATAATTTATTATAAGTTATGAGATGTGAGGGTCAAGTGTTGTATCATTTAAATACACGTTATAAATATTACGTGAGCTGCAACACTCACGCTAAATATGTATATATTAATGTTTTTTAGTATATTACTGACCCATATTAAACTTTTTGACTCATTTCAAACGATTACATTAATCCAATTAGAAGTCTAAAATTAAGTTTTATTTTTAATCCATGTATATTTTAATCAACAGTTCTTTAAACTTCAATATTTTATTATAACAAGTTATTTATATCTGTGAAGTTTGTTTTTGTGGAGACAATAGTCTCAGAGCATGTGTTGTAATGTGACATTTTGTAGTTAAAAATAGTTATATTGTTAACATATAACAAGAGCGGAGACACATTGTAGTCAAGTAATATGATAATTACAGTAGTGGACTGTCTGTAACTCTTTGTATGAAAAAATCCTTTGTATTCTACCAGAATAAATATGTTGATTTTTATGTACAAAGAAAAATCTTTTTAAAGCATCATAGATTTTTGAAAAATTTTGTTTTCAGCCTGATCCATACTTACTATGTAAGGACTTCTGATCGTTTGGACTATACTCAATATAATATAAAGTCTGAAATATGCTTGAATTTAAAAAATATATTGTTTATAATACTCGTTTATTCGACAAATCGAATGGATACCCCCGTCACTGCGGTAAGAGGCCTCTTATCACCGCCGCCCTATGATCTTACAACAACTAATATTTCTAATCTTCTTGTTGTTAGTGTTTATTTCACAGTTATTTGATAACTATGTATTATATATAATAACAAATCCTTACATAAATGTGTTGAAAATTACAAGAAAAATCGAAATTCGGTACACAAACTACGTCTCAATATTAAACAAGAAAGAACTCGTACTAAAGGTATCGTGACCTTAGAAAGAAAAAAACTATTGGATTATATTAATTTACTAGTATTTTTAGATTAAAGGTTTCATTTCACAACGACAGTTTCAATAAAACTGACGCTACCCATATATAGACTATACTTCCAGTAAAATAGACTTTATCTATTTATATGGTAATAGATACAAAACACCCTTCAAGTAATCCCAAACCCATGTAACCGCGTGTCAGGAAGATTCATAAAAATAACTTTTTTCACGTTATGTAGTAAAAACTTTTTATTGGACCTTTACATAGACGCACATATAATCATACTGAAAATGTCGGTTTCAAATTATTTTTAAACAAAAGTCAAATAACTGTAACTTATAATGTTTATCTCACTACTTAAAATACAATAATTAATTATGAGAGACGGGTGATCAAAAATTAAAAAAATGTTAAAATATTGGACACCCAATGTAAATACGGATCAAAATTATGATGGTTGTCATGGGTAAAAACAAGTTGAAATCAACAATTTTAAGAAAAATCTAAAAAAAGTAACAAAAGCTGCAAATATATGTACATACACCTAACGTAGGCCGCTTGTATAACAAGTGAGTTTATCAAACACTGTTGAGTTCCTATCGGTAATGAGATGATAGGCTATTTTAAAGTGGCAAAGCAGTAATCTTAATTAAACTAATTGATTTAAAAAGTGGTCACGTCATTGATGTACATATAAGAAGTATAACATAGTTCAAATTGTATTGTATTTTGAGATTGTAAAAAATAATAAAATGCATGAGTTCATATAAAGGCTCTCTTCTCATTTTAATCACAAAGGAAGCAGCAAAATAGACAATATGACGAAAAATAACATAAAGACGGGTATTTTTGGATTGTTATTATTCTATTTTTAGACCTTTTGCAAAATTTGTTTTTGTTGGAATGTCATTTAGCGTGGGTGGAATGTTTACTTGTAATGAGAACGTCTTTTCAAAGGCATAAAAATATTAGAACTTCTTGCTAGCTATCACCAGCAGTGTCGTAAGAGTTTTCCTAAACCTTTGACCTTTTATCTGAGTACTGTGTGAATGTTACTTTGATTGATGCGACCCCAGCATCGTCTTTGAGGTGAGGTGAAATGGGCTGTGAATAAGGAATCATCTTAATGTTCCACTTTCACACAAAAGGTTTTTTAAGGAGGGTTCGGAGTTCACAGATTAAACATAACGACGAAAAAATAGACGCGGATATAAAAAACAATAATAATACGTGTGCTCTTCAAATTACTTCCTACTGTAATTTTCTTTCTCGAAATTAAAGTGATATGAACAAGTTTATTAATAGAGACTTCTTGTACGTTCTTTAATATTGAAAGATAATAATTTTAACCTATGTGTAACTTGTTATAATATTAAATGATTAGAAATATTTTAGAAATACATTGGTACATTATGTGCTATTTGAAAATGTACAGAAAAATTAGATAATGGTGTTTTTGATAAGTATATAAATAATGAATTCGAATAAGAGATTGATATTGTAATTATTAACAAACAAATATTTAATAAAGTTCCCAAAGAGATGGCCCGCCGCGCGCCGTCCGCTGGTGATGAAGTTTGTACCAACACAATAACAAAAGTAACAGAATGATAACTTCTCATAAATATATTATAGAGAGGAAACTTCCCGCATTAATTATTTATTAATGTTCCTCTCTCTTTATTTCAATGTTTTTGGATGTTCTTGTTTTGCATTATAAATCTATTTCCACTCACTCATTAACTTTATTAATAATTCTCTTTGTAATTCATCGCAATGGACCACTTTATTTTGTATAGAAAGTAAAAATTTACTAAAATGTGGCAGAATGCTAACCAGATTTCTTTTTTATATACATAAACCTTTATTCTTACAAATTATAAAATAGATTCATATAAAAAGAAACATTAGTATAAACATTTTCTATTGTACAAGACATGCTTTATTTAGCTCGCTATAAAGTAATATTTATTTAATTTTATTTGTAAACTGAATAGTCAGTGGTGGCCCAGTGGTAAAAAGGCCCGCCTCTCATAAACGACGGCGCGGGTTCGATCCTAGCCCGGGCAAGTATCAATGTGATTTTTCCGAGTCATATGTACTTTCTAAGAATATTTAGACATCACTCATTATTGCTGATTCTCAAAAGGGGGTTGATGTCAGGCAGGCGGCCGGTAATAAAAACAAACAGCCAAAATTATTCACAACATGTAAGGCAGACCCTGGTAATAGCTGGGAAATTGCCAGGTAGAAGAAGATTTGTAAACTGAATGATTATATGAGTGTGTTTTTTATTCACGAGATATACTATTTAGTATATAACGTTTAACTATAAATCCCCTACCGTTGCCTGACGCTAGCAGCTATGTTACATGTGATAGAATATATTATAGGATTTTTAGTTGACACTTTAAAATGTTTATTTTACCGACGATACTCAGATATTACAAAAAGGTGTTTTAAACTAAGAGAGAGGAAAGCAGCGAGCGATATAAAAAACTTTATGGATTTTCTTTTATACTTAGAAAGACTGCACAGAGAATATTAAAAAATTCATTACGTTCTGCTTAGGTATAGTTTAGTTAAACTTTGAATTATATATATGATAGACCGTTTACTTAAAGTTCAAATAAACTTTGAAGAACAAACATTAAGTAGACTTAAAACGATCCCTTCGATAGTATGTTTAATCTCATCTTCAACTGCACATATAACAAACTCAAATTGCTATAATACAGCCCAAACTATATTGAACTTTATTACGTTTATGTAAGGTTGAAACTCACCTGGAGGAGGGGCGTTCGGTGTCCTTCATCCACGTGGCTCGTGCTGGAGGGTTGGCGTCCACATCACATCGGAGAGCCGCCGCCCCGCCAGCGACCAGTGCGACACCGAACCCCGGCCAGCGAGAGATTACAAACGATGGCGGGTCTAGTTATAGTGGACGGTAGAGTTTATTTGATTTGATTTAATCAGACATATAAAAAATATTAATGAAGGTGAATAAGGAAACTTCGCGATGTACTTTTGATCACATTTGTATATGAAGATGATCTTACAAAAGATTACAATTATATCAAAATAATAAACCACATCAAACGAGATAGATATCGAGTATGCACTCAATACACTCACAGCATAATAAAATTACGGGACTTTAAAGATTAATCTATTGTAAAGATTTTTTTAATTTGTTTTTTTTTTTTCGTCAGTTTGTTTTGTTCATTAACGCGTGAAAACTAAAACGTATGCTGTCAAAAAAAGCTTTATATATTGAAAACTAAAAATCGTGGACTCAAATCCAGTTGCGTAACGCATTGGTAGCGATTGGAGTGTAAATTTGTTTCTGTATTGTAGTTGTAATACGTACATGTGACGTGTATCTCTAGTTTAGCTGTGAGATGGTCTGGAGGTCGCTCGCCAGGGTTGTCTGTGGAGGAGGCGCGACGCTGACGAGAGGTACATTGAAGAGTAGCGTTGTGGAGCTCCCTGGCTGCTGTCACTACCACCCGAGACCAGTACACACCATCTATACGAGAAACGGTATGAATTATGGAACATTCTACAAGAGATAACTATAGTATAGTGTGATTCACGTAAGAGACTTCAGAATTCTTATCATAGTTTCATCTTTTTATAACCACAGTTAGACTAGCACACGCATATGTTCGACTGCAAAAAAGCAAATAAATTTTACATTTAACTGCAAGATGTTTTTAAGATTAGCATTATAGAAATAAATAACTACCAATAGAGAAATTAGTAGGATGTATCCTGAGATATGGTCTGTGATCCAGGGCTGGTTCAAGAGCTAGAAGACGCCAGGACAGCTCCGGGGGAGGAACACCACCTAGTGAGGAAAAAAATTATATGTAATCCATTATTTCGACTGTATATACAAAGTAACTTAGTTGTGTGAAGTTACTCATATGAAATATACCAACGTTTCAGATGAAAAATGTTTATAAGCACTTTGCCCTGTGAAGTAAGTCTTTTAACCGAGTTTTTTTTTCACTCAAACACTCAGCCCACTGAATGGAATCGAAAGCTTCACAAACCTCTATTAGAAACGTTTCAAACTTTGAGCGTTGCCAACAAAACCACCTTTTATTTTAGCCAGTTTTGTGATAGTGTGTGTGAGAAAGGAAAAATAAAGCTGCAATGATTACTAAAGGTTACATCTCGTTCTATAAAAGCTTTTAAAAACTTCGGGCAACATTCCAATATTGATATTTTTAAACGATTTGAGAAGTAATCAATAACGAAAAACACATTAACGTATAGAATAAAACCGAATGTCGGAATACAATAAGAATTCTAACACACATCATTTAAGAGACATGAACCACATCACGTATACGAATTGTAAATAAACTTATTATTAATGTTTATTTTGTAAAAATCTCCGTAAACTTTAATCACCGTTTCCTAACTAGGGAGTTCATATGCATACTAATTAGACTTTATCCAATGATATTCAAGCATATTAATATTAGTGACTTCTAACATAGTTATCATATACCCACCTTCAGCCACACACCGCACCTCCAAGACAGTCTTATCTCTGACAGGTACCCACGTGTTGCCAGCGTCGAGTCTCCTACCGTCCACAGCCAAATATACGGAGCGGACAGGCTCTATATAACATTATATATAATACATTACAAATATAATGAGAATTTGAGGCAATAAGATTTAATTCATCTACCAGAATATTATAGGTATGGCTGCTCATGTAATCAAAATTTGTATCAAAAGAAAAGAACCACAGAAAACTCTGTATTTATTAACTTCACATAAGACTATACTATACTTAGGTAACAAAATAATGTCAGATAATCATTAGACATAACTAATGTAGAAAACGAATGTAATATTATTAAATAGTATTTGTTTTAAAATAGCGTTATAAAATATTGTCGTGGATACATTAACAGTTCATATATAATAGAAATAATAAATTATATACAGATTTATATTTAACTGGATCATCATATTAAAACTAAGTTTTTTAAGGATCACCTGAGGTCACCAGATATTAATCGTTACCAGATATTAAAAACGTTATTATGTTGAGAAGAAAAATTATAAAAAATATGTCATCTTTACACAGAAAACTTAGACAAAAGTTATGAGGTATTAAAATATAGATTTAATAAATTTCGCAGGAAACTTTAATAATTTATGTGTTCATTCCAATGTGAATGTGCGTGAGTGTATTAGAGTAAGGTAACCACTTTATTATGGAAGAATTTCTGGACAAGTACGATTTAACTCCGGTGACTACTTTTAACTATGGTTCTGTATAAATGTATACAAGATATATCTTTGACATTACAAAAAGTTTTTTTTGAAAGATTATACTAAGAAATTTTAATATACATGTAGAGATTGCAAATTTTCTTTATATAAACGCTATAAAGCTTAGATTTATAAGAAATTTGAAAGTTCCTTCCTGTTTAAGATACTATTTTTAACTTTATTTTATATAAGCAACAAATTCGTGGCGGTATCCAAATTATTCTTTTCAAATATCGAAATTTTTATACATCTTGTACGAAATAACTGCAACTGGGCCAACAGTCATAACCTCTTAATAATGCTAAACACACATTTATTTTAAAACAATCAGAATTAAATGGCAACATTTAAGATAGGAATTTATGTATATCAAACGATATGACATATATTTGATATTACATGAGTAATGATCACTAAATAGTTTAATGATAGAACAGCAAGGTTCAAGGTTGGCAACGCATCCTCAACAAAGCTGTTACGGATGTCCATGGGCGACGGTAACCACCTTTCATGAAGTGGGCCTTCTGCTCGTTTGCTACCTTTCACATAAAAAAGCCTGTATGTACTCACCGTATATAAGTAGCCGGGTCGGTTCACCGGTCACAGTCCGCCCCGAGCGGTCGCGGGCGGCGCACCTCCAGCGTGCTGCGTGTCCGCGCGACGCACGCGGGATCTCCACCGCATCACCGTCACGCCACGCGTCACCACCAGCGGGAGATGACGGCAGGTTGATTAACTATGAGAAAACATTCGTATGAATATATAGTCCTAATTGTGAAGCAAGGATCGGTTTCACGTAAAAGAAATTATTATGAATTTTACTTAAGTTATTTGAATTTCATTTGGCCATACATTTTTCGGCTGAACATGAATATATGCTGAACGTGTGCTTGTTCTTCATCAACATCATAAATATTAATTCTAATGTAACCTTTATATAGCATATGGTATATTTATACCATTAAAGTAAAACTATATTGTACTAACTGTGTGTACAGATGCTTAATTCGTTTTGATCAGAAAAAATACTGTTATTATTAAAGGTCTAACCAAACTTATATGAAATGTTTCAAGGTAAAAAAACTTTCATCTACTGATTATTTTTTTGATCCAGCCACAGTGTTTGTACTAGAAAGTTGTTATCAATTCTATCATAAACAATACTCATAATAGCAACATTTTCCAAAATATTTATCATTTAAATCAATAAGAGTATAAACTATTCTCACCTCACTGTCTTTGTACCAACGTAAGTTGGTAACATTAACCAAGTCGCAGATAATACGTGCTCGAGCATGAGGTTCTACTAGCAACTCTTTTTCTTGCTTCTGAGGCTGTTGGAAGGAAAATTATAATGTAATTAATTCACAAAAAGACTATTTGTATTGTTTAGAACAAAAAAGTAATCCAATTAAGAAGACTCGATCGTTAAATGTAAAGAGGTTGAAGACTCCTTTGATCAACAAGCGCCGCGCGGTTCACTTGTTTAATATTTAGCTCATAATTATGTTCAACTTCACCTAAAGCCTCCCAAGCACTCCCTCAATCGTGACGTCATTTCCAAGCAAACCCAATTAATTACGGGACGCTATCCACAAGCGACTTTAAATTAGGCCGCTACTCAACATTTAATATTAATTTGCTTGCTCTTCGTATTTCGTAAATAATTCTACACCCTGAATGTAATTATGGCTCTTCTTGTTTCGTGGTTTTACGAACTTGTGTCCATTTTACGTTATCGGAGAAAAGACACATAAATTTTATCTATTTTGTTTATACTGACAAATCTATTAGTCTTCTATCTTCTATATATATAAAAATGGATTGCTGTTCCTTAGTCTTGCTAAAACTCGCGAACAGCTGAACGGATTTATCTTATCTTAGTCTTGAAATACTCCTGGAAGTCCAGGAAAGGTTTAAAAGGTGAGAAAAATTGGAATAATTGCCGGGAAAACCCTAAAAACAGCCATTTTCTATTTCCCATACAAACGTTTATTTTGACATTAGATTTGACAACTAACTAATATGTCAATCATTCTGTTTGTTTGAAACAGGAAAAACCTGATTATTTATGGCCTGTAAGACGAAATAGAGTTCGCCTGGTCAGCTATACCTACATATATTACTCTTGATCAACCTAACGCGGACGAAGTCGCGGGCAAAAACTAGTCTACAATAAATATATGCAAATGTTAGGTATAATCAAAATTATCGTAAAGTTTACCTGAGGCGGCGTCACCTTTTCCCTCCTCATCTCCCTCATCTGTTCTCTAGGTTCATCTCTCATGACTGGTGACGGTCGTATAACGAATGCGTCCACTCGAGATGAAGCTCGAAGCCCAGGAGCAGCGCCAGCATCACCGATAGCATCTCTGACAGCACCACGGATGTTCAGGATCGTGTCTCCGGTCTTCACACGACGAGACTGAATATACATCATGATTATTATATACAACCCTTAATAAACCTATACCATTAAAGTGACTATATATCAGAAGTTTAGTGAGGTTCGAGTGTAAACATTTATAGTTGATTACGAACCACTTTGGGTTATTCAATGTAGTAAATAATATGTTAATTGTTTTAAAATTATCGAAAGTATTACAAATTAAAGACTTGATATCGAATATGTCGTATGAAGATTATAATAATAAATAATAATTAATAAAGCCGATCTATACAATTCAAATAAAAACATTCCATACATAAGTAGTAACAATGTGTTTATTAACATACCTTCGCCGGCTTATCCCACTCTTGTCCACTGCTTCGTTTTTTCCGATCATTTTCTTCAGTGTCTTCTAGAGTATCGCTAGATGTGACGGGCGGGTTCGTGTAATTGCTGTTTAATTCTTGAAGTATAAATCTTTTATTCTCGGCCTCCACCCGTGCCTCTTCAGCCATTAAAATCTTATTTAATTCATCTACATCAGAGGCAGGTGCCACTATAAATCCGCTCTCAGATTCCTTTAATTGTTCGGGTTGGAAGTTATTTGAATTATTTTCATTTTCTTCTTCCAGAGAGATTTCATTCTCGATTATATTATCGGAGGACAGAATAGTGTTCTTGTCTTTGACGAAATCAGTTTCAAATATATTATCTAACTTGTTATTATCATAATCATTTGAAGCACCAGGTGTAACCAACACATTGCCGTCTTCTATATTAGTTTCTGTGTCGTAATCACTAACATCGATTGAGTTTTCCGTGTCGAAGAATGGCAGGTTAGTATCTGGTTCCTGTTTACTAAGTTCGTTGTTGTTTTCGTTGTTCTGTGTGTTATCTTCATAGTTATCACGGAGGGGGGGGTAGAGGGGGGCGTCTCGGAGGATGTCTACCGCGTCGAGGGGGGCCGGCGCGCGCTCGGAACTACTCCGCTCACTGATCACGCAGGGGAAGAAGCCTAATACAAATAAACTTTATTTAAAAAAACAGAAGTAAAGTTCAAATCAATTCTCCTGTAATGGTTCAAAATATTTCATAAGTTTATTCAATTATGATATAGTAATAACTATGATATAAATTTCATAAATATTCAAAAATTGGTTTATTACAAAAAAAAGAAAATACTTTCAGCTTCTGACTTACATATCCCCGGCATTTGGTATATGATTATAGAATGAAGACTAATAAACAAAATGCCTATTATCTTTTAGTTAGTATGAATTATTTGAATTAGTGAAAATTCAAATTTAAATAAAAATAAGTTTTTGGATACTTAACATTTCTTATTATTTTACATCTGCATAATGGCGACGTTGCGACGTTTCGTAATGACAGACAGACGAGATGAAAGTCTTGTGATGAATGTATTTTAGATAACATTAATTTTATTATTCTTTCTATTCAAATGTGTAGCTTTTTGATAAAATATCCAGTATAATTTTGTAACTCAAACAATCCGAATAAAAGATTCTGAACCGTTATACTATTTCTGACTCCGGAATACACCGCATACTTTGTTCTGATTAAAATTTTTACAAGTGTTAAAATACCATATATATGCCATTGTGTTAAAATAATATAAAAGGCAGGTTACACTTTACGAATAAAAACTAGTGTTCTTTAAAACCAATATGAGAATGATCCTAAATATAGACAGTTTAAAAACACTTTTATTTTAAATAACCTTACATAGGAAGTATCGTGACAGTAATATTGTATAAGAGAAGATTCATTCACCGGAGATGTTTAATAAGATGACTGTACAGATATCAATCACCCTCGCAGCCTGTAGTTTGATCATTAATTTTAATATAAAAGAGAAATTTTATGAAAGCTTCTTGATTTTGATGACAATTTGTAGCGAGTCAACAATTTGGTGTAAGCCTTTGTTCCTTAAACAACTTTGTTTCTTCGGAATTTCAATCAAAACCCTTTCAAATTTGCAATGGGTTCAGAACTTAATTTGAAATTAATAAGTTCAAAGAGATTTCATGGATGAAAATTTAATAGTAAAAATAGTAAATAAAAGTGATACCTTGGAGACAGAAAATAATTTTTCTTGTATTTGAAATGAATGCTTTCGTCATGTTAAGTTGCAGTATGTTTATTTATTTATCTCATCATCGATTACGAAACAGAAGTTAGAAATATATTTACATACCTTTAGTTTATGCATTGAATTTATTTAGTTTCACAATTATTTTGCGTTTAATAGTTTGCCTTGTTTTACAAACGACCCATTAATAATGAATAAGAAACGAATAAATACTTTACACTATAATATTTGAAGCACTTATTATTTAGTATAGTTTTTAATTACTTTTATTTTTTATTCAATTATTAGATATATAAGTGTTCATATGTAGACAGTGTATTATTTATATATTATTTTTGTTACCAACAATTAAAGTGATAATAGTTAAATTCTATATTATAAACTTATGTTATATTCTAAACTTATTTCATATTAAACAAAGCTGTCATTATACCAGTTGACGCAACCCTTTTACCTTAACATACTTTTTAAAGGCTCCATTATTGGCTTCTATAGTAACTATTTTTTCATAATTATAGTTGCCAGAGACTACCTCTATGGTCTTAGAACTTAATTTAAATTACTTGGAACATGTTCCAAAATATATTAATTATTATTATTATACTGCTCAATAGAAGCAGTTGTCTGGTCAACCAAACAATTGGTTGATTTTTTTAAAATAAAATATGATAGCAAACTAGCTATCTGCCTCTTATAAAAATTAGATAGGGGACACCTATCACATGTCAATAAACAAGAATTATTATTTATTATGTTATTAAAGTCAATTAGTTTAATTTTATTACATATATCATGTTTTGTTACATAATAAGTATTTGACATGAAATGTAACATATTATTTAATTTAAATCTAATAGAATTTTCCTGTGGCACATCTTTAATATAAGGAAATGTGAACATTAATATTCTATCCACATTTAAATTTGATAATTTAGAATAATAATTTTCAAGAATTTTTTTGTTTACATTTCCCCTTCTCCCAACTAATATAATTAGTGTAGTATTGGGACAATGAGTACTATTCAAAATACTGTTCATAATATGGGAATAACTTGCCCCCGGCATACAATAATTTTTTACTGATTGTCCCTTACACATGTCATTGAGCAAAATACCCAAGTTTCTTCCCAATTCATCACTATAGATTTTAGTACATTTTTTGGTGGGAACATGAAGTGTTATGTTGGGTATGGCGCTGTCATGAGCTGTTGACTGAGACAAGGACACTACATCATTGAGCAGCCCCCAACCATCCCCAGAGACTGAATGGCCCTGACAATCACAAGTATGGTTTTTTATAAGAGAGTTAAAGCGCTCGGAATTGTATTTACTCAAGTCTAGTAGATTGTTCATGGCAGCAATATGACCAGATATTTCTTTTTGAGACATTTCATATTTTTTTGACATTATATCTAAAGAGTTATGTAAATGTATTATCTCAGCCTGAAGAGCACTCTCATCAGCCTCATAACCTTGTCTCATTACTTTAGCAATCTTAGAATATTCAATAATTTTTTGTCTGAGTGTGTTTCTTTCTTTATAAATTCTTTCATAATTTAAGCAATAATTTCTTGATTTTATTAATTTTTGAGTTTTCTTAATATATTTATTAATTTTAACATATTTCTTTAATTTATTTTTACCCAATACTAGACTGGAAGAGCCCGAGTCATCACCAGTTGAATCAATTGTTGTGATGTTATTGGTATTGGTGATTGGGGACACTAAAGAGGCCGCATTTCCTACCAGTTCATCAAATAGACATTGGGTTTGAGAGGCCTTAAAGTTAAAGCTATTATCTTCCAATTCCGATATATATAATTGGGCCTTAGGTATGTAGTTTAATTTTTAACTCATTGGTGAGCATGAGGGCTTGCTCATACTCATCTCTGCAATTATCAAACCCATTGACTATTTGTTGCAGATTATTTCTTTGTTCTTCCATATCTAAGTATTTCAAATGTAACTGAGAAAGCTCAGTTTTTAGACTATTGTTTTTATTAAGAATTTGCAAGTATTCATGTTCGTTATCATCCCTTTCTTTTAATAGTAAATCACACTGTGTCCTGGATGCTCTTAGTTCCTGGAGCGTCAGCTGGAGTTGTTCCTCCGCCTGACGTGCCTTGATACCACGAGTCATCATATTTGATTAAAAAGAAGAAGTTGTATGAACAAATAATATAAAAGTAAGCAGTGTGATCAAACTGTTAATAATATTTAGTAAGTAGTAATGTTAAAAAGGGTTTCTAAAGTGAATTAAAGGGATAACAAGAAGTCGAACAAGAAAACTTTTCAAAATTGAGTTCGTTACCTGCGTAATGTCAGCTGACGAACACAATACAAAAGAAACACTATGCACTTAAACGCACGACACTCAGTTTATTATTATATTTTATATATAACTGATTAATACATCAATAAGAATGTAAGATAAGAACTAATTACAATGAATTTAAAATATAAAATAATTTTAATTTATTGGGAGAAGTTTTTTTTAATGACATTTAGTAAGTGTTGCCAATTCTGATAAGAAACTGATATTATATTTTACTGAACTATATACTAATACTCAGATACAATTGTTTCGACATAAATCCTTTGAAACCAAATCAATTGAATGACACATGTAAGAGACCCGTTGCTACTTCCTGGCACGACAACTTCATAAAATACTCCGTAGTCGGTCGATGTACTCGTAGAGCGCCCTAATCCTTATAAATAATTCCACGTCCTTAAATTAAGAGGTTTCAGAGCGGCTTTTATAGGTCACGGTACGTAATAGAGGACTTCAGAGAGATTTTTAAAGCGAGCTTCTATCTCTTATTTCGTTTTATTGTTTGATGCTTGATTAATTTGGGGTTTATTTACGGTCGACTGAAATTATGGCTGGAGTACTTTGAGTCGACATTCTTTTTGCTTATATTTTATTGTATCTCTGCTTTACGATTTAAATTTAATCTGAATTAAAAATTTACAAAAGTAAATTTAAATTGTAATCCAATAAGCGATATTACCAATACAGAGGATTGAAAATATAAAGGATTTGATAAACGCAGTAAGTACGGACTGTTGATTTCACAAACTATAAAAAAGCCTTTAGTAATTGGAAAATGCTGTGGGTGTGTGGTATACAATACTGAATACCACTCGGCCAGTTGAGATGATTACGTGGAGCTGCGGGCAAGCACGCAAGATGACCTTGCATACTTATTGGTTACCCCTTTAAAACAACCTCCTCTTTCCCTCTGTGGCGTCATGATACATCACGGGGTCGCTACAACATTCACCGCAATACCCTGGCGGAATTACCACACTATGAATTCGTCTCGAAAAACGAAAATTGCTTCTAAAATAGGTCTCAGTGAATGGAACGGCTCTTGGCCACATTCCACTCGACTCAAAGCTAAGAAATGGGGTGATGTTCTTACTCTCAACTCTTTCTTTACTCCCTACAAAACGGGCTAGCGGACAAAGCCGCCTCCTTGTCGTGCTCCGAAATCGACCGTTAGTGCTAAAACATCTCACTGTCCATTATAGAACTTTTCACATGCGAACCGAGAGGTTTTCATGCACCACACCACGTCTCATCTGCACTGTTAGCTTCAGCATCAGACGATAATGCATGACAAGGCAAACTCCGGCCTTAAATCAAGTGGGACTCAGTCTTTGTGACATAGATCCTTAGTCCTGTTATGGCATTGAGACGGGTACCCCAAGAAAGTTCTTATCTTAGAAAACCTTCGTCAAAGGCAGGAGAGGGCAGTGAAAGAGCCAGTGATATCGGATGATAGGTTGAGGGAAGAGCCCTGTGGAACCCTGCAGGTAATTTGGTTCATATTTTAACAATTATATCTTTGAGTAAAATAGGTTTTTATCCAAGTGACCCAGTTGTCGGTACACACATTAAACATCGTCC